AGCCATTCTAGAAGTGAGACTCCTGAAACATTACTTTTGAGACAGTAACTTTAATTAAATCGGGAAGAAAGAATAAAAATGATTAAAAACCCAAAGGGTGGTGATGAAGTGAAGGCAAAGGCTATAGACCACTCTTCTAGCTGGGTTGATGCAAGGTAGGGTAGCTAAAAGAGCTCGGACAAGTACGGGGCAGAGGGTTGTTTGTTGGTTTATTTTGTAATGAAGGCAATCTCTTTGAATCTCTATGGATTTTGGTGTTGAAAGTAATAAAGAAGTAAGAAGGCTTGACAAGGGGGGAAACAACAGTTTTTCCCCAAGTAGAAAAGGATGGAAACATTGGAAAAGCCACTGTGTGTCTTTTGATGAAAGGAAGGTATTATAGTATGTCTTGAGATGGAAGACAGGACAGATAAAGTACATTCTGAAATATGGCTCTGATCTTGCTAAAGCATTGATTCTCGTGTGTACAAGGGGATTGGACATTAGGATTTTCCAGGGCCTTTTGTTTGTTTGTTTGTTTTGTCTTGTTTCCTCAGAAGCAGGCCTTAGTCTGAGGATTCAATGCAAGCAGATTTTTGAAAGTCACCAGGAACAAGATGAGGTGGAGGGAAGTGCACGAGGTGTCAGTAAGCACGCTACCACAGAAGGAAAGTAGAGCCTAATCCCCAGGAAAGCTCTGGAAAACAGCGCAAAAGCCATACTACAAGAAGTCTCCCTTCTAAGAAAGGAGGAGAGCTGGAGTATGTACAGCCCCACACCAGTGACTCAGTGATAGGTGACCCTGGGGATGTCCGTTTCCTACCGTCTTGGCCTGATGTCAGCTTCAACAAAGTGAGTTTTGGCAGCCTGAGGGGAGCTCTTTGACAAAGATTCAAAAACCAAGTGTGGCAAATTGTGCTGGCGTGTGTGGAAATTAGGGACAGTACACCGACAGTGCCTATTACTTTTTCATGCCAACTCACCTCTACTCTTCTCTTTCCTCACCCACTGCCCCAGATTCTGCTCACCCTCATATACGGCAGTACTGAGAAAAGGTGTGTCTAGCCATGCCAGGGAGATGCCTCGGGATTAATAGCCTCAGAATATTGGTTAAAGACCACGGAAGTCAAATGAGACAGTTTCCACTGAGACTGAATGGAGCCCTTGTGGGACTGGGAGACTAGGGAGGGAGAGAAAAACATTTCTTAAGATTTCTTTTTTTTTTTTTTTAGATTTTATTTATTTATTCATGAGAGACACAGAGAGAGAGGCAGAGACAGGCAGAGGGAGAAGCAGGCTTCCTTTGGGGAGCCCGATGTGGGGCTGGATCCCAGGACCCTGGGGTCAGGACCTGAGCCAAAGGCAGACGCTCTACTGCTGAGCCACCCAGCTGTCCCACTTCTTAAGATTTCTTCAGAGAATATGATTATGAGTCTGCATGAAAAGAATTACATTTCCTGAAATTGAGGTGAAAAGATTGCAAGAATTTCATGATATCCAGTCAGCACTATCTTGATGTACAGTAACACCAGATATTCTAAGGAATAGAAGTGAAGAGTATGGGTGTGATAATAATCAGTTTATGGACTGGTTTTGTAAGTTAGTGGAAGGTTAAAGAGGCTAGGCACTCAAAACTCCTAGAAAAAAAGAGCAAAGGTGAAGTGTGAGCATGGAATTAGGCTAAATAGAGAGGGAAGAGAAGCCAAAAGACACCCTCATGTACTGAAAGATTCCAGAAGGGGAAAGGAAACCAGAGGCTATCTGATGGCTAAACTTAAGTGCAAGAAATAGGGGAGGAAAACCGATGTGGAAGAAAGAATCTAGATAAAGGTAGAGACTTGGGATTTAATCTTCAAAGTGGAGCAGTTCAGGCTTGTCAGACTGAAGTGGAGATGAAAGGTTTTGGAAATAGGGAGCTTGAGAAATTATGAGACCAGGCTTTCTGATGAGTCATTTATGTACTTAATGGCAAGGAGTCAAAAGCAGAAGAAAGCCCTTACCTTAGTATCAAAGTCATAAAAAGAGAGGACGTGGGATGTTTTATAACCAGGAGATATTACAGTAAAGATCTGGAAAGGATGGCATAATTTTCAAAATTACCAAAAAAATTTCAAAATTATGCATCGTATGTCAAAATTATTTTGATATTTGACACAGATATAATGTTTACAACTTTAGTCTTTCTGATTCACGCAGAGGAAACTCAGGACAAAATTCTTCTTTGGTTTCAACCATTATTTTAAGATTCGCCTACTGGCATGATAACATTTTAAATGTTATACTAAGGTCCTATTCAGTAGAATTAGACTGTCATCTGAGAAACTTAGTTGAGAGCTGACTAGGGAGGGAGAGAAAAACATTTCTTAAGATTTCTTTTTTTTTTTTTAAGATTTTATTTACTTATTCATGACAGACACAGAAAGAAAGAGGCAGAGACATAGGCAGAGAGAGAAGCAGGCTCCATGCAGGGAGCCTGATCAACCACTGATCCACCCAGGCACCCCAGTTTTTCATCTCCTGTGTAACCATCCTCCAGCAATAAAATCCTGCTGTTTTACAAACTCAGGTAGTTTTTCATATGATAGAATTTTTATGTGGAACTTAAAAAAACAGAACAAACAAATGAATAAACAAACAAAAAGCAGAAACACAGTCATAAATACAGAGACCCACTGATGGTGGCCAGAGGGTTAGACAATGGGTGGGGGATGGACAAAATAGGTGAAGGCGCGTGGGGAATATAGGCTTCCCGTTTGGGAATGAGTAAGGCAAGAGGATAAAATGCGTAGCATAGTCCGTGGTTCTATAATATAGTCCATGGTATTATAACATAGTTGGATAATGTCGTATAATAGAACCCATGGGTTTATAACAGTGCGGTCTGGCAACCGACAGTAGCTCCTACGCTGTGGTGAGCATAGCATGTTGTACACCTGAAGCTGATGCATCATCATGTGTCAACTATATTTCAATTTTAAAAAATGCATTCGGGTAGTTTTTGTTTTCCTGATTGGCTCCCGATACCCAATGTACTTTATACGTCATTATAAAGCTCAGTGCACTTGTGATTGGAGAGTTAATAGATACACATTTAATAAACACACTCCATGCACTTGTGAGTGTATATTTAATGCACACAGGTCTTAGCCAAACTCTACATTTCATGAGGGCAGAGACCATGCCTGTATCTGAGTAATTGCTGGATGAGAGGTGTTTAGTTATTATTTATTGAATAAATGAATGGATGAATAAGATGTGCCATAAGGTCTTTTTTTTCTCCTCAAAGCACCTGTCATCTCTTGCTCTGGAATAAGAAGGTAAAATAACAACAACAAAAAAAAGAAGTTGCTCTTATCAACGCATCCTCCTGTCATCCAGGAAAAGTCAACTCACACACAAAAATCGAGTAACATCTGCCCAAATGGTTAAAATAAAAGTGGAACATATGTAAAAGACTGTGCGAAACCAACTTGAGAAGCTGACAATGGGGAGGTTAAACCTGTTGCGACTTCATAGAACCAGAAACCAGTGAGCGCTGAAGCAGTTTTATTTTAACTGGAGGGCAGCCCTGGTGGCCCAGCAGTTTAGCTCCGCCTTCGGCCCCGGGTGTGATCTTGGAGACCCAGGATCTAGTCCGGCTTCGGGCTCCCTGCAGGGAGCCTGCTTCTCCCTCTGCCTGTGCCTCTGCCTCTCTCTCTCTCTCTGTGTCTCATAAATAAATAAAATCTTTAAAAATATATTTTAACTGGAAACTTGTTCCTTCCTGTCATCTTTTTCTGCCAAATGGTTTGTATTTGAATGAATCAGACCAATGGCTCAAACGTATTTGGAAGGCGCGATCAAAGTCAGTAGGAGAGAAGGGAGGATGCATCTTGAAATTTCAGAAATCTTAAAAGCTGCATTAATTTGTAAGGGGGCAGAGTCATGTGTGCGCTCTCTAGAAGTCACAATCTGGGCAGCTCCTTGAGGTTTTTCAGATCTGTTTTCACCACCAAGGCAGAGCTGGCTGTGGATCTCCCTGACTTTTATGGACCACCTTCTAGCCTCCTTTATGAGGGTAGCAGGAAGGCAGCAGGGTGGGGAGAAAGGGAGCTAGGAGTTCAATCTTTTGCTTGCCATGGTCTTGAGAAAATAACCGTTTCAGTTCCTACAAAAAGAAAATGGAAGAAAGTGAAACAATACTTGAAGTAGGAAAAATAATCTGGCCAGCACCGAAAAATAGTGAGCTGGAAACGATCTCTGTGTGTAAAAAAGTTGCACAATATAAAATATTTCTCTGGAACCCAAATTATTTTAGGTAATATATTTTAAATGCTACTCTGGAATGTTCTTACCATCCACTTAAGGGGCAGAGAACTTCCAGCTCTTTCAATTAATTTGTTTATTCATTTTTAAAGATATTTATGTATTTATGCATGAGAGAGGCAGAGACGCAGCAGAGGGAGAAGCAGGCTCCACGCAGGGAGCCCGATGTGGGACTCGATCCCGGGTCTCCAGGATCATACCTTGGGCTGAAGGCAGGCACTCAACTGCTGAGCCATCCAGGGATCCCCCCTATTTTTTCCAGCTCTTGTAATTTAAACAAGAATATAAACTAGGTGCGCTACGTGCAACCCAGAGGCTAGCACGCCTGCAGCAGGGCGTCTACACACAGCTTCGGTGCGCGGCTGCAGTGGACACACTTAAAACAGGAGCCCAGAGGCAATTGAGGGACACACAGACACACACAGACACACACAGACACACACACACACACACACACAAAGGCATTTAATAGTTTGTTGTTTACATTTCTAATTTTAAAGCATTTCCACTTCGGCTTATCCTAAAACTCAACTGGACAAATCAAAGTCCTATAATGACTGCTGGCTCCGCTTGGACTTGCAAAGCAATCAGAAACACCTTCCGAGTCTCTAGAGGAGAGTAGGCAATGGCCATTCAACCTCCTTGCTGCCAATATATATATATATATATATATATATATATACCACACATCGGAGAGGGTCAAAAAATAGAGGTACCTTGCAGGTAAGGCATGCTCGGTGTGTTCCAGGAGGATTCCTCACCAGCGAGTTCCTTAAGGTGCACGACGGGGTGAGGGGTGGGGGATAAGGTGGGTCTAATTGCCTGGGGAATGGGAAGCATCTTCCCAGGTCTCATAAAGGACTCGGAGGAGAGGGGAGGGAGGGAGGCCGCCCCGGCCTCCAGGAGGGCACCCCTTGCACCCAGGCCTTGGAGTCCTTGCAGCTGCTTCCCCTGCGGTGTGGCTGAGCCCATCTGCCTGCTGCCCGCATCTCGGGCCTGGTCCTGGGGCTCTGGGACACCAGGAGGGGAGTTGTGCAACACAGTGGGTGAGAGGTGGCGGTGGAAGGAGAGGAGGAGGGGGAAGGACAAAGATCTCCTGTCTACACAGTGGCTCATCTTCCTCCCCTGCCCCACCAAGCAGTCGGGTATCGCCCCCCCCCCAAGGTTAGGCAGCCCCCCATGTGTGCACAGTGTCCCCAGGGCCATCTCTCCCTGAGTCGGAGCTTAGCATCTTCAGGGCCAAGTAAATATTTGTCGCATGGATAAAACACCTGTTCCAAAATTCACCAGTTTCCAGACTAACCAACCGTGATGCCCACAGCTATTTCAGAAACTCTTGGCTACGTATTTTGTCTTCTTTTCTTTTTTTTTTTTTTTTAAAGATTGTTATTTACTCACTCATGAGAGGCACACACGGAGAGAGGCAGAGACACAGGCCGAGGATGGGCAGACGTGGGACTCGATCCCGGGACTCCAGGATCAGGCCCTGAGCCAGAGGCAGATGCTCAACCGCTGAGCCCCGCGGGCGCCCCTGTTTTCTTTTAAAAGCTCACTATGCTACCTACAAGCAAACACACGAGTCACTTGTACAGCCCTTGGCTTGGAGGAACTAGAAATGGAAAGGAATTAGATCTATAATTATAAATTATCCCAAGGTAGGAAATCATGGGACCCTTAAAACTAGGGTATCATGCGAGTCTCAGTGTTGAAGAGTAGCAACATCTTACCGGGCTAAAGCATGGGGAAAAAGACGCTTCAGGTAAGGCAGAGGAGGTGCGCAGGTATGGAAGGATCCAGCAGTATGCTTCTTGCAGAGAACTGGAAATCAAGTTCTCTAGCTAACGTAGGGAGAATTACAGGAGCCCTCAACATCTCCTGAGCTGCATGCATTTCTCAATTCTTCTTGATTGCAATTGTTGAGGATTTGGGGCAAGGGTGAGGTAGGTTCAACAACTGGCCCTCTTTATTTCTCCCTCTACCCACCCCCTTTGCTACTTGCTTTTAAAAACCTTCTTCAAAAGCAATGCCTTTCCCAGCTCCCTTACCTTGGTCAAGGTGGTAGGAGTGGATGTAAAATAGGCAGGAACTTGAAATGCACTTGAAAAGGAGGGCTTGAAAAAAAAAAAAAAAAGAAAAGAAAAGGAGGGCTTGCCTTTTGGGTTTGGTTTGGTTTGTTTTCATTGTACGTTTTCCTAAATTTAAGTTCAATTTGCCAACAGACAGCATAACACGCAGGGCTCATCTCATCACAGGCCCCCCTCCTTGATGCCCGTCATCCCCCACCCACTGCCCCTCCTGGGACACTGTTGTCTTCCCAGAGTCAGGGGGCTCTTGGTTTGTCCTCCTGTTTGAATCTCTGCTCCCCCACTCTTACTCCGGCCAAAGCTTCCTGTGGTGCCCGCGGCCTCTTTTGCCTAGATTTCAAAATGAACACACAGCAGAGCCACAGCATCTGACCAGCGGGTCCAGGACTCACATAAGTGCCCAGTGCTGTGCAGCACTGACAGCTGTGGTTCTTTTCTAGGCAACGTTGCAATCGCTATCTGGACCAGAGCAAGCAACCCATGGCACCTTTTTTTTTTTTTTTTTTCCAGCCTAATTTCAGAATCAACTGAGAGAGAAGAGCAGGAGAGAGAGTGGGTGAGAGACAGGGAGGGAGAGAAGGAGGGGGGCAGGGAGAGAGCAACCCGGCCCATAGGGAGCAAACATCTCTTTTATTATCAAAGTCCTACTTGGAGGAGGAGACTGCGGGGTCCTTGAACGCCAGCTCCAGGAGAGAGACCCTAGAAGCTAGGGTTCCCCGGATCCAGCTGCCGCACGTTTTGCACACATAGGCCGAGTGGAGAAAAGCAGAAGGGCTGCATTTGCAGGCCGACCCCCAGGGCAGAAGTGGGGGCGGGTGAAGTAGCCACATCTAGCCAGAAGGCAATTTCTCTCTATAAAAATGCATGATTAATGCCACTTCTCAGGGTTCTAGGCGAGTTAAATTAAAACAAAAAGGGACCAAAAGAGTGGCTGAGTTAGAAGGCTCAGCAAACACTGGCTGCGTTCTTTCCCTGCCCTCTCTTGCCTGATTATGTCTTTCTTTATCTATTTTTCCCCCTTTCTTTTTTCTCTCTTCCTTTTGATTTGCTTCCTGCCCTTCCTCCGTGCTTCCAATTCCACCCTATATGAATGATAATGCATCCTATACTGTAGGCTACCACGTCCTGTGCCTTAGGCTACAAATCAATGTATGAAACATTGATTTCCTCCTAGAAACATAGGCCAAACTGAATGTGATCCCTTTCAAAAATTGGTTTGGGGGGCGCCTGGGTGGCTCAGCGGTTGAGCATCTGCCTTCAGCTCAAGGTGTGATCCTGGGGACCTGGGATGGAGTCCCCCGTCGGGCTCCCTGCAGGGAGCCTGCTTCTCTCTCTGCCTGTGTCTCTGCCTCTCTCTGGGTGTCTCTCATGAATAAATAAATAAAATCTTTAAAAAATAAAAGTTGGTTTGAGTATTGAATTGATCTTCGTTTATGGGGTCATTTGGTCTTAACTATTAAAAACTTCCAGCCCCTCAGTATGTTATTGTCAAATTTCTTAGAGGTTTTCTATTTCCCACTTATGGTTTTTTTTTTTTTCCTATTCTTTAAGATTTTATTTTGGGTAGGTTTTATTTTTTTTATTTTTTTTAAAGATTTTATTTATTTATTCACAAGAGACACACAGAGAGAGGCAGAGACACAGGCAGAGGGAGAAGCAGGCTCCCTGCAAGGAGCCTGATGTGGGACTCAATCCCATGTCCTGAGCCGAAGGCAGAGGCTCAATCACTGAGTCACCCAGCAGTCCCCTTTGGGTAGGTTTTATAAAGAACAACACACTTTTCCTAATTTAATATGAGCTGAGCTTATCATGCTTTCAATTTCAAATCTTTTCAGATTACATGTAGGTCACTAAACAACACCTTTGTGTCTCCATTTTCAACACCATCATCATCTTTTTGATGGAATTGAAACATTGATGTTGAGGGATTGACACCAGAGAAAAATTTAAAAGCTCAGCCCTGGACTTAGTGATGTAGTTAGTGGTAGGAAGGAAGGATGGAAGGATGGCAGGAAGGGAGGAAATAGGGAAGGAAAGGAACGGAGGGAGAGAAAAAAGGGAGGAGGGAAGGAGAAAAAAAAGGTATAAATTTAAAAGCTGTTACTTGGCAGCTTGGTGATGTAAACATGAGAGAAGTGAATGAAGACTGCCATGAGGAAACTGAGGCACCAGTCCCATTTGCCTCAGAACCAGGAGAGAGAAGCAGCAGCACAGGGAAGGACGGCCTACAACGACCACAATGGGGGCAGCAGGACAAATGGCACTTGGGTCCACCAACTAGACAGTCTGGGTCACGATGCCAAATATTAGACTTCTGAATCCACTTACACGTGTCAATTCCAACGTATTTATGGCTTTTGGACATGAAAGGCAATGATGTGAGCAGAAACATAAATAACTTAAAGACTTTACATACCAACATAGTTTGGGAAGACAGAAGAGAGCTCAACAGTATGAGGATGTTGGTCTACCATCAACATGGATTTCGAGAGCTCTTTATTAGGGCCAGATATTTCGTAAGATTTGGGGAAAGTACATTTCTGTTCTATAGATTGGTGGTTTTTTTGAACATTCAATAGACCTAGCTTTTTTTTTTTTTTTTTTTTCTTTTGCACATACTCTCCTGCGGAAGGCGTGCAGCACCCAGAGCATTAGAAAAGGGAAAAGGGAAAAGCAGAGCTGTTCCTCCTTCAACAGCAATAACATTTGCTTCTTTTAAGGACCTGCTTCTCTGGTCTTCCCATATTTAGTAAAGCAAGGAACAAGGGAGGGAGATGCATTAATAACACTGGCAGGTTTATGTAGCAAGGCCTGGAGGTAAGAAAGAAAGAAATCGGGATACAGTGTGCATTTAAGCCAGATCAGAGGGGACTTTCCAGGTGGTTTTTTTCTGGAATATTTAAGAAATTAAAAAAAAAAAAAAGTGCTCCTGACAGTAGTGAGTATTCATTTCCCTCATATGGGACTTGTGACTTGATCCAGCTCTGATCTGTACGGCAGGCTTGGTTGGGGCATCCTGGCATTCCCCAAAAGCTTCAGAGGATGGGGTCAACATTTTCTTGCCCCTCTCTCGAGCACGGTGGATGGAGGGAAGGAAGGGTGCACTGCTCTAGTTCAAGGAAGTGCATGCCTTAGGTTTTCTCTCCTTTGAGGAGAAAGACTTGGAACCATCCTGCAGGAGGCCACGGTGGGATTCAGAAGGGAACTCAGGGGACCTGGCCTCCCAGCCCCAGGGAAATGACTCAGCCCCGCTGTTGTAGGGCTTATCTGATGCACCGTGGAAGTTTAGCCAGCTTTTCTAGCTGTTCTTGGTAAGAGGGCTAGTCTACAATAAAATATCTTGCTTATACCAGAAATAGGAATACTGTATGGAGAGGAGGAAATATGGACAGAAAGTAACTTTTTATTCTATTGTGAAGAGTCTTTCAGCAGAAATGGGTTTTGGACTTTATTGAATTTTGTTTGGGTTTCTAGAGAAATAATTATATATTTTTGGCTTTGACTTACTGATTGAATTGCTTATATGAATACATACTCTAATATTAAACTATTATAGTATTCCTTGATTAGAGCCACGTAAAATAAGTGTATTACTTTTGGCGTATGACCGAATTAATTTTGTTGGATTTTATTTAGGGGTTTAAGAAAGTATGTTTATAAAGAATCGCTGCTTTAATTTTTAAGTGCAAGTTTGACTTCTTGGATGAAAATGTTATGAAACCCCTGAATTCTTAAATTTTTAAGTGTTTTTTTATCTTTATTATTACATGAATTTTATTGCATTATATTTAGAGAATATGGCCTATGCCATTTCTGTTTTTTGTTTTGTTT